AGTGAAGCCGAGAGTTTAAAAAAAAAATCTCTGCTTCACCTCAAGTTTTTAAACCTGATAATACACTCCTGCTCGTTTTTTAAAAAGTGCATGATCATATCAATGTGTTATGTGACACCACAAGATTAGTATGAAATTTCTGCAATCCTTTTTTCTGGATTTCAGAACCCTGGCTTTGACTTTAGCAAAGCTGAAATATCTGGAAACTATTCTGGAGGAGGCCCAAAATTACCAAGCTGACCAAACATCTCCAAGCTACTATAAAATACCAAATCAGTGGTCAATGAAAACATATCCAACCTGTCAAAACAGGATTCATGATATGAGGCTGACATGACATACAACCAAAGTATAGCAAGTATACAGCTCTGTAATTGCAGGCAAAAATTACTTTCAAACCTGAAAGTGGACACTAGTGATGCTGAAGGAACAAGCTAAAGTTACACAGAAGAAAGCTAAGAATTAGCTTCAGATTTAAGACATCAATGATATAATAAATTAGGTTGTGGAACTGAGAAAAACTTCAAAGTAAAATGATTTTATTTAAATTTAAAGGTGCCACTCAGTACATGTTGAAGATGTTGTTTTCATTTCTGGGTTTTAGTTTGGTTTAATTTTGTTGTTCTTAAGACTTCTGTTTGTCTGAAGGTGGCTCTGTTGTTATTAGAGGTGCATTGAACCATGACAAACTATGTGTCATAACTTTTTTGGTTTTAATGTGATAGAGTATTAAACTTTGAGAAGACTTTCAGCTGTCATTTTGCTATAATATGAAATAATTCAATTCAACTAGTCAAATAATGTTATTATTGTTTCGGAAATAATTTTAGCATTTAAGTGGACCCTCATATTTGAAGAAAATGACTTCCAGTAAAAAATTTTGCTGTTATTTTTAGCTGAAATTTCTGGAATCAGGTCATATTGATATTATATTTTACACTCATCAGGTCACAACACTCATCACAGTCACAAGACAATCATCAGGGTCATTAAACACTCATTAAAGTCAACAACAATCATCGGGGTCACAACTCACAACACTCATCAGGGTTACCTATGCCAAATAAGTTAATAAGTTTCAGATAAATTGTTGGAGCAGAAGTCTAAAATGTAACTTTTAAGTCCTTCAGAATTTAGCTGTTTTGTAATAACAATGGAGCCACTTTAAAATACAGGTACAGTCAACCCTCGCCTTGCGGACTCCCCGCTATAACGGACACCCCGATAATAGGGACAGCAGATAAATTCCGGGCAAAAATGAATTACAGGCATTTGACTGAAATAAACTCCCGCTATTACGAACTCTCGTTACAGAGGACACTAACTTAAGGTCCCGACAGTGTCTGCTATAAAGGGAGTTGCCTGTATCTGCAATGAGAATCTGGTATGCTAGAAGTATATTTTAGTGTTCATGTACATGGTAAAACAATCACAAAATTAAATGTTATTAACTGATTTTAAACTTTGTAATGTTCAGTGCTGATGTTGGTTCTTTAAGGTGAAAAAAAAATCATGATTACAATAATCCTTAGTGCAAAAACAGGGCGGTTCAAGACATTATTACATATAATTTGACATTTCCAATGCCTGGTGTGACTTAAGGTGTTTCAATACAGTTTTATAAAGATATAGTGCCAAGTGGCATTTTCCATTCATCTTAGCAAGTAAGTAACTTTATTTAGTCAGGGTAGCCCGTTCAACAGTGAGGCTGGTATCCACAGCGGCCCTGAGAGAAGAAGAGGCCTTTTCCTATGCATGTTTTATCAACCATCAATTCTGCAGATGCAAAATCACAAAAAAAAAAGAAAAAAAAAGATACTGTAATTGTTTGAATTTCAATAAATTAGGCATTTCAATCCTCATTCAATATTACAAAAATATAATAAATATTATGCATTGGTCAGTAAATTTTGTATCGTTGATAGACAATCAGATGCAATTGATGTTCATTGTGTCTGTGTTACTTAGCTTCCCCTGTTGTACTAGATGTCTGAGACACCTTACATGTAAATGTGTTAGTCATTAATAGCATGCATACTGCCATTTACTATTTAGTCAACTGGGATTAAACCAGCCAATTAAATTAACTTAGCCAGAGATCCGTTTGGCCATTAATTAAGAGGAATTCTTGGTGCAGACCAAAAGGAAAACAGGCTCTGGCAACAAGACTAGAATATCTGCAAGAAGAACAAGAAGGGGACCTTTACGTTAAACGTTAATTATTGTATTTAATATTTTAATTTGCTTTGGTAATTACGGTACAATGAATATTCTTGAGAGAAAGTCCAGAGGTGGGAGCAGTGGTTGCTCATTGGAATTCTTTGTGAGGGTGTGCCTCACAATTTCTACCCCTTTCTTTCTGATTTCACTAGAGCAAGATCTAAACTCACACCCTTTGGGATGGCATATACCTACATAGCTTACGGAGTTGAGTACCACATACCCTGGGGGTATGAAAAGTACAGAATTATCATAGTCTGCAAACCCCGCGGGGGCCATCTTACTGTAGGCACTTGGCCTGGAAAAGTATTTACATTCAATCATTTTGCAGATAAAATTAAGATAAACAAAAAATTATAAATAAAATATTATACCAATTAATGAAATAAAAGGGAATAGTTTTTTTGCTTTCTCATCTCAGCATGGACCCATGCTTTTTTTTCACTAGATTTTTAGTTTCATTTCTGGTTTCAGAAAGCCCCAAAAAGTTCATTGCCAGGACGTTTGAGGAGCAGGTTCGTGTCATTCCCCCTTAGTCCCCTTCCTACTCCCTCTTTTTCTTTTTTCTTTTCCCAGGCTCTTCCAAGTACTTTTCTGTGTGGTAGGTCAGGGGAGGGATGAAGCACTGCAAGGCAATTGTGCTGCAGACCAGCGTACGGATGTCTGGGTCTTGATATGAAAGGGTATACAATTTCACTATTTAGCGTCTTGAGCAGGGTGTCGTTTTGGACTGGAAGCCTTTAAAAGAGTTTGAAGGTTGGTGATGAGCTGTCTGTTTGTGTGGCACAATTTAATGTTTTTCAAAAGAAATCTATCTAACATCATGGAATTATTCCATGATGTTAGTTTTAATAATTGCTGTCTGCAAAACGAAATGAAACAGGGTCTCTTTCTTCAGCAGTGTAGAGAAATAAACTATTTTGTCTTAATTAACAGGGGCAGGGCTTGAAGGTCCCAGCAACCCCCCCCCCCCCCCAAACTTCCCTTGAGGCTCCACCCTCTATGGGCTGTTTCACCATAAGGGACCACGCAGGGGGTGGGGCTGGGGAGGCTTTAGCCCCTCCACTTTTTTGGATGGTAATTTTTTTTTTCCTTTGGTTACCAAGATGAGTCCCTTACAACACAGAAAAGGTTTAGTAATCTGACAATACTGAACACCCCCAAACAGAGAACAGACCAACTTTGTCTTGTAGCTGTTGCCAATAATGAAAATCAGAAAGGCAACATTGGCACCTTCAGAGAATCTGACTTAAAAATGTTCGGATAACACTGATCAGTGGTTGAGTGTGTTGGGTTAGCTTCAAAGTCTATATTCATTTAAATTTTGGTCTAACGTTGGGGCCAGGTTGCAACTTGTTGTTTTTAAGTGCTGATCCGTAATAATTACAAATTTATATTACTATTGGCAGTTTAAGATGCATATTTTATAGCCATTTCAGAAGGCTTAAATTTGAACTTTTCCTGGGGGACCATGCCCCCGGACCCTCCTAGTTTCCCATTAGCCCCTGCTACACACTTGAAAATCCACTCCGCGGGCCCTGACCATAAAGCCTACGTGTAGCCACACCCTCCCCCCAATCACATAGCAAGTACTGATATAGCTCAGGCCAGTATTCCAGACCCCTATTTCTAAACTTACTGAATGCACCCCTGACAAAGAAATCTTTCCTCCATTCAGTTCTGATGATAGGCCACTTGCACTAAGAGGTCACGTGACCAATGCTTCCTTTAATATACCTTCCAAGTGTGTTCGTGTTAGACGGAACTCTTCGTAACATCTTCGGAAGTCTTCGGAACGTCTTTGGATCGACATCTTCGGATATTATCGGACCCTTACAAAAAATCTTGGCACTCTTAAGATAAAAAATGTCACGCCTATAAATGTAAAAAGGTTGGCAGGTATACTTTAATTATGAGTTGGAATCTTGCTGATGCCAAAAATTGACAGAGCACATAAAAATTATCTTACACCCGAAATTTGAGATGAAACGCATTTAAGGGAGATATTTTATGGCACTCATTTTTTTTTTTTTTTTTTTTGACTTTAATATCATTTGTATTGGCCGCCATGTTGGAGGGCACACTATTGCCCTCCAACATGGCGGCCAAAACTACTTTTTGCTTAGATCTTGTTTAACGTTTGATAGTTACGCTCAGGTGTGCTGTAAACATTCCCACATCAACTTTTCAACATTTTCCTTGAAGTTTAAGTGCAAAATTTTTTGTGTTCAGAAAGAGTTTTAAATAATTCATAATTTCAAAAATCACATTTTGGTCACGTGACCCGCTACGAACTTACTCATTTTAAGAAAACGGTGCAGGTCTGAAAAACAAAATCACTATTATTTTGTTTAATACATGATCCACTAATCGTTTATTGAAGAAATACATCACTAAATAAACATATAACATCGATGTCACCTGACCTCTTAGTACAAATGGCCTATTCTCTAAGTCTTGACTGGTACAAAATTACAGGCAAATAGCACGATGCTAATCTAAGCGGGAATGAATTCATCAGTCACAGATTTTGTATACTCAAACAAGAGAGAATGATCTGTCTTATCTTGACTCAAAATATTAAATTTGTATTCTTACGTCATTTAGACGTCACAAATCTTGTGTTCCCCAGTTTGGGCCAATCAGGTTCTTACAAAATGACGTCAGTTTATCATGGTTCTTTCCTTACATTGAGGTGTCCTTGTCCGCTAAAGTGGGTGCCGGTTGAGAAATCTTGTTATTTTGCGAGCTAAACATGTAAGGACCCCACATGTTACAATATGTGGAGAACTCTAAGACAAGGTTAGTGTTTTCTGTATTTAACAATCAATGTACCTTTTTAACCTTGTATATGTAAGCAAGCCGTCTAGTAGGATCCCATCGATTGCTACCATGATGGGCTCAACCTCGACAATGTTGTTCGGCGTTTTGACTGTTAGTTTAAATTTTTCTAGTTTTCAAGAATCCTGGAAATGCTCCACGTCGTCTTGGGCAGATTCAAGCTGCTGAGAAGAACGAGGACGTGAAAAATCTCTCAACTGAAGAGCAAAAAGACAGAGCTCGTCCGCTAATTCAACCAAACAGAAAAGTCTTCCTAGCTGCTGAAGCCGAGGGAAGTAGTCGATTCTATGACGATGCATTTAACACAGGCTTTGAAATTGTGCAGTGCATAACTCGAGGTTTTTTGAAGGAAGAAAGAACCCGTGCACTTAAATTCTCTACTTACTTTGCCAGTGGGAAACAAGAATCCTCGGATCCATACAGTGGAGAAATAGGATCGGTACGTGAAAGTGAAACTGCTTAGTCATGTAAGCTAATATTGTAGATTACTAGAAACAAAGTTTGCGAAAGGAAGTGGAAAATGCTTGTCGTCTAGGTATGTGGTTTTCAAAACGGGGATTTTAGAATGGACCTGTATGAGAAACGTATCAAAACAGATCAAAAAGCATGTTTGGAAAGCAGCATGCAATTGCGTCAGCTTTGTTTCGTCTGAGTGAACCTCTATATTGTCTTTGTGGCTGTGGGGTCAGAAGGTGTGGGTGGTTGTTAGCAAACAGAGAAGGCTCGTCTTTTATATATTGGGATGCGTTTCTCGATAGTCTGCATAGCTATTTAAACAAATTAGACAGCCTTATTACAGGCTAAATGTTTTGATCAGCACTGATCAAGAATGTAACTACAGAATAGACCTTGTCACGGTTTTCGATGCCATCTTGACGAGTAGGCAAACGTGTGAGAAATTACAGTGTTTGTATGAGAATCTAATGTCGAATAATTTCCGTAAAACGGCTGTTCTGAAAAAAATATCAGTTGTAAACTAAAGCTACAAAACAAAAGATTGTCCTAAAAAATTTGGGGGGCGTACCTGTGCTTAAATTTCTCCAGAGGCTTGCTTTAGATTTTCCATATATTTGTCTGTAATTTTCCCGAGACTTCCTTCCAGACAAATGTATGGAAAATTTTAAAAAGTGGTTCTAGGTTTTCTAGTGCATGTATTACCTCAAATTTTTTCAGAACAGCCTTTCTATGGAAATTATTTGACATTAGATTTTCATACAATCACTGTAATTTCTCACGCGTTTGCCTACTCGTCAAGATGGCGTCGAAAAACCGTGACAAGGTCTATGGGATATATGGGTTTGTGATAGGTTGAATAATGAATACTCCGCTGAGGGATGTGGCTTTTATGCCTTTTTGGTCTGAAACTGGGTGTAGATTTTACTTCCTGTGGTCTGAAAATTGGTAAGTACCCTCTGCTATGGAACCAGAATGTAGAGTCCTAAAGTTTCTTTTGAAACAGAGTCTAGTACCCTGCAATTAAGCACTCCATTTGTGGGGATATCATGAGATGTCATGTGCGAGTAGCATTCCAAAGGAGATGGGAAACCCCTTATTCTTCCACCACTCGCAGGCCTCTTTTCACTCTATAAATAAGGCCTTCTGACAGGATTTATTTTACTCACTCCTAGTAGTGGGAGCTCCTTCACCAACTCAGTTACAGGAAGCATACTGCCCACCCCCACCCAAATTTTCTAGAAGTACCTCTTGCCTGAGGCTACAGTATGTGCTTTGTATGAATTTTCAAGCAAGCAGTTTTTTGTCATAAAGGGTTTGTGGTACAATAGCCACCAATTTTGTTGATCAGAACATTTTGACCAAGTACTGCAGATCTTCATCAAGCGATGGCATCAATTTACATATGGAAACTGTAAGTATGGCTGTGGTTGCTAGCGATAGCATCCACAGTGGTTCTTTGAGTCCCGCTCAGTAAGCAAAAACCATTGCCAGATGAAGACCTGCAGTACGCTGTAGAAACCTCGCAATCAACAATTAAGAGACCATTGTGGGATGCACAATTATTAAAAAAGATGAATTATTTTCAATTTACTGTTGTTTTGTTTTCTATAGTGGTGCAGTGGAGTATTAGCACTGTCAAGTCTTCTTGCTTGTCGCAAGGCTTTTACAGATGAAAAGTCTCCATGGCACATCAATGTCAAGAGTATCCCAGCTCAGGTGTTGTCAAGATTATTGACAACCAGGCCCTATGCATCTCTAGGAATACTTCCTGTGACAGAGAGCATACCAACTCACAAGGGAAATGCCAAACCCACAGACCCATTGGATGAGGCTATTGCAACTTTCCAATCCAGCTTCAGTGAATGTACCGCAGCTACACAGAACAAGCTGGGCATCAAATTTGCTTCGTTAAGGCAACATCAAAAGGCATTTCTATTATTTACACAAGCTAGTGAACGAGGCCATCCTTTAGCACAGTTTAACCTTGGCTTGTGTTATGAGAGTGGAAAGGGAGTAGACAGAGACTTGGCAAAGGCTGCAGACTGTTATAAAACATCAGCAGCTCAGGGCCATGCTGGTGCCATGTATAATCTGGCTTTGTTATATATGGATGGTCTTGGTGGCCTACCAAAGGATCCTCAACTCTCCCTAGAACTTCTTGAAAAAGCAGCTGAAAATGGTCTGTGCAAAGCACAATCATACTTGGGGTTATACTATTCTAATGAGTCATCCAGTCATTGTGACTATGATAAAGCAGTGCCATACTTTAAACTGGCTGCTGCTAAGAAAGACTCATCTGCAGAGTATAACCTTGGTATATGTTATGAGCGTGGTCTTGGTACAGAAAGAGACTTGTCAAAAGCAGCATACTTCTACAAAGTGGCAGCTGAGCATGGCCACATTGGTGCTCAGTATAACCTGGGGGTGTTCTATGAACATGGTTTGGGTGGATTTGCTGTTGACAAGAAAGAGGCTGCTCGCTATTATCGCATGGCTGCAGAAGCAGGTGATGAAGATGCAAGGCACAACTACCTTCTCATAAGAAAGCAGTTAGAGTCAATGAAACATGCCAGACAACCCATACAGCCACAAAATCTTGTGTTTTCTTTGTTCAAGAAAATGACTCAGCCTGCATCAGGAGGAATATCTGTTCAGGATAGTTTACCTCGCTGTGCTTCCAGCCCTGGAATTTTAGATGACATTCCACTGGAAAATAGCACACAGAATGTCTGCACAGCCTCAAACAAACAGTCTAACCCTTTGTTGGCATTCTAACCAATATTTCCAATTTCATGTATTCTTGTAGAATATTATTTCCCAAGCTTTTTTTAGACTTTAAGTAAAGAAAATAGACATTTATATAAAATGGTACAGATAAATGTGTACCAAAAAGTAGAGATAGCAAGATTACACACCAAAAACGATGTTGGTTGTACTTAAGTAACTTTTATTTAGACCTTTATTACAAAAATGGATGACAGAAAAAAAATACGTATTCTTTGTTCGAATTACTATTAACTATAGTTTTGTACATAAATAAAACCTTGTTCGTTGAAAACTATGATCAGGTCTCTTTGGTCAATAAAACTTAATGTTTACAATATCAACACTCAAAAATGTATTTACAGGGGTTTCAATAAGCATCAACGACCGGCAAAATGCATCGGCTACGTTGCTAAGAGAAGGGGCTACTTTTTCTCCCATGATTGAAGCTGTTACTGACGAAGTGATTCTGACAAAACTTAAATTAAAGCATTCATTAAACTAAAAAAGAAACCCTAAGCTTTATTTTTTAACAATATGTAAGTACTTGCATGCAGTCCTATTTCTCACACTCACGGTGATTCTGTTCATATTCATTGTTTTCCAGGCAATGTATCAGCATAATTAAAAACTGTGGTTATTTTAAATCATTGCTGTTCAGCATTAAAACCTGTGAATAACGGTCACCCTTGGGAAATGGCAAGGTGACCATTATATACAGGGTGAATTCTATATACAGGTCAACTTTGCAGAAAATAATTATAAGACAACTGAAAAGTTGGGAAGTTGTCTGGTGACCGTAATATACAGGGTGACATAATATACAGCACTGTTATGGTACAGGTTTGACTGCAAAAAAAAATCACTGCCGTTGATAAGAAGGAAAACTTCCAAAATCTTTTTTTTCACTCAATTAATTGCCCAGAACGCATTTCAGGGTCTCCAAGAATTGCAAAATTTTCTGGTGGAGCATGCCCCAAGACTCTCCTAAGAAGAAGGTTACCCTATTCAGTTACCCTATTCAGACATGCAATAATTATTGAAACCCCTGTATTTCCACAAAAAAACTGCCAACCAAAGCTAATAATTCCTATGCTTCTTATTGTCATTATTAAACAAGACTTTTACCCTGCATCAGGGTTCATTACACCCTATTAACAGGCTTAAGTAAAGTCGTTTTTGAGCGAAGCACATCAGCTGGAAGTTACAGTGCCGATACTCTTGTAAGAGACAATTTGTCCAAAAACATGGGCAAAACCACGCCCAAGAAGGCAAAAAAGTCAATTGACGTGGGTTGCTTAAAAACGTCTTTGCTTGAGCTCCCTATTAACACATGTATAACTTACATGACATGGCAGGTGTTTTATCACATGAACCACACAGCTTACACTGCCATCAAATGCATGTAACCATGGGAAATGTTAAACTTTTTCCTTGACACGCATTTGTTATCCCTGCTTGAATTTGAGATAGTTTTACTGTCTTATGCTTGTGCCTCTCTTAAGTAATTTTCTCTCTTTATCAATTTCCTTCATGCTTATACAACACAACGAATTGACCTTAACCATTAGTACAGTACACTAAAATTTCAATACCTTTAAGTAAAAGATGTATGAATAATCTCTACCTTAACTAACCTCAACTTTCTTAGCACCTTCCTGTATCAGGTGATTAACTGGGTAACTGCTTTCTCTGCTTTACGAGCTGTGAATAAAATTACCTTACTTGTGTGCTTATCCTCAAAAAAGGAGCACTTGAATTTGAACACCAGAAAAAATGAGCATGTAAATTAAATGTGCCCGCATCAGTCACACACTTCATAAAGTTACAACTAATGACTAGTTAAATCCTTCAATGAAGTTAATCCTATTTAAGACTGACTGCAGGCCCCTTTTCTTTGCTAGATTTGAAATGGCTTCCTTGTCTTTACTCAGCAGAATCTTGTCTTCTTCGGAGCTCCAAACATCTTTACCAGCTGTATATCAAAGAAAACATATACACAATAACTTTTCGTCAGAAGTTTCTCCCACAATAAATTCTGGATTTTAATTATTAAAATCCAGAATTTTGACCTTCAAAATTGGAGTGATATTTTCGTATAAAAACATTTTTATTTGCCAAGCTGAACAGGTTCTTACATTTTGAGGTCTTTAAATCCCAAATTTTAGCCTGTAGGTTCTTAAATCACCAGGTTATTATATGCGGGTTTTTACTGTACTTGCCACGGGTATCACTGCAGACTCTTGTGAGTGGGAGCATCCACATTCCGTTAGTAGGCTGAGCCTCTAACCTGTCCTACCCCAGTTATTATTATTAGTAGTAGTAGAAGTGCTATTATTAAAGCTTAAAATTAACGAAAATTAAGATCTTAATGGGTGCATTCAGTTGGGAAATCTGGATTAAATTTAACTTCTGAGATTATCTGGATTAGATTCCTGGTACAGTTATGCACCTATCAATGTAAATCCCGTGGGGGGGGAGTGCGGGCAAGGGGAGGGGATTTGATGCCTGGGACTATCCCCGCTATCGGGCTTTTGATCGTGCGAAGCGACCCCGGGGTCGGGACATTTGACTTTGACCGACAGAAGCCTGGTATCAATTCAGAAGCAGTTACCAAGTCCGTCCCTCGAGGCTTCCTGAAAGTCACGCTGTTGGAGAAAGGTATGAAGTTTTCATTTGTTTTAATCGCCATAATCCGATACTTTAAACTGTCATCTAAACAGATAATGTCTATTTTGAGGAAGTTTTTATCTTCAAGTTCCCATCTGATTGTAAAACTCGATTGAAATCGAATTCCACCATGAAAGTCAGAGGATTTTTTATGGGTCACTGATCCGACCTGTTCCGACATGTTGAGCAGATGTTATAAAGCATTTTAAGTTTTATTAATATTATATAGCACGGTCAATCTTCCTGGAGTGATTTTGTTGTTCAAGATAAGAGATGCTAGTGGAGAGAGAAAATACTTAATTACAACGAGTAATTTAATGGAGCTTCCGTTAACCGTAAATAAAAGTAGTAACAACATGTTTGAAATGTTTTTTTATTCGTTTTATATAGTATTATAGCATTCTTTGTTTAGATTTTTTCCCCTGGGGTGGGGGCTTTTTTGACACTTTTGATTGACCTTTCGTTTCCCACCCTGGGGAATTTGATCGAAAAATTTTAAAATTTGTCAAATCCCCACCCCTTGCCCGCACCCCCCCCCCCCCCACGGGGTTTACATTGATAGGTGCATTACACTGAAGTACCATATTTATTTGATTAACCACCCTGGGCGCTTATTAAATTTTTGGACCTTGAGAGTGGGCGCTTATTCGAGGTGGGCGCTTATTCAAGGTTGGGCGCTTATTAAATTTTCACCTTTTTCAGTAAGTGTAGTATGTTAATTTTGCAACAATACAATAAATAGTAATAATAAAACCCGAAGATGTAACAAAGCAAAGGTTTCTGTAAAATACTCTGAAGAAAACTCCGTCTTCGGGTAGGTCTCTTACAAGTACTTATTTAAGGTTTTTTGGGTGGGAGGGACCAGAAACGGGGTGGGCGCTTATTTGAGTTTTAGTTTGAGGGGGAGGGAGGTGGGGTGGGGCTGGGCACTTATTCAAAGCTGGGCGCTTATTAAATTTTTCTGCCTTCAGGATGGGCGCTGATTCGAGGTGGGTGATAATTCGAGGTTGGGCGCTTATTCGAATAAATACAGTACTCAAAATAGCTCAAGCACAGTAGACATCAGACTTTGGAAAAAGTCCTTCATTTCATTTCAATATTATTATTACCACTTGGTTGTTCACTTGGCTGCTTTGCATCTTAAAAAGCTCTCTCTGCTCACTTAACAACTTTTCTGCTAAGTACAGTTAAACATGTCTTTGTAATATCAAACCTGTGCCATGCTGCAAGTAGTTTTCTGCATCATCTAACATGCCAGAGTTGATCAACAGACTATGGATTATCTGTGGTACTGTCCACTGTGATTCCAGTTTCTGTAATTCCAGTGAAAAAATAATAGAAACTCTATGAAATCAATGTTTTTGTTCCTTAGCAATCTTTGTACCAGGTGATAAGCTACTGCTGATTGACAAGTTTCTCACTTACAACACCAACCCACCAATCTCCACCACCTTTAACAACAAAAACACATACTTACGCCTTCTGCTAAATGAAATTATCCCTGTAATACATTGTTACATTTAGAAATAAACGCGGCAGCAGTAAACTGGGTGGGTGGTAATAAAAGGAAAGGAAGGCAAAAATCTTGCATCCTTACACAAACAAAACTAATAAACAATATTATTCCTTGAGACCCAAATGGGCTCTGAATCAATAGCCCATGAGGCCGAAAGCCGAATGGGCTATTGACTCAGAGGCAATGAGGGCAAGAGGAGTAGAATCCAACCAGTTGGTCAAAAATATTGAGACAAAACAACTTTAGCTCACAAAACGCAATTCAGCCACCATTGTTTTGGTTTTCAAAGCCGGCACTTTTCACTACTAGTGGACTATAACATAATATAGCCTAGTAGTAGCTCTCAACCAGTCAGAATGCAGCATTGATAATAGAACACTACTTGGATTTTACTAATGTTATAAAACATGTGTGTACCCAGTGGGATTATACTGTTCAAAGCACTGTTGTTTTGTACAGGAAACGTAAAGGACACCTGACCAAAAAAACCAACCCCTAAATAAAACACACCTTGAGTTACTTCCTCGCCAGTTTCAAAGGTACATGTCTGTCTAAAAGAGACTTAACTGAAACAATCCAAAAATCCCTGCCTTTTAACCATACGAAAGGGCTCAATTTATTACTGTCTTGTTGTGTTTTGTTTTAGTCCATTCTCAATGGTTTTGGTAAAGGAATTGATTACCCCTCAATGTTAGAAAATATATCAAGAGCCAGCTCAAGGTCTTTCATAAGTACAAGTATCACTATTTTATACCTGAATGCTTGTCTGTAAAGCCTGGAAACACAAAAATCTCCTTGTAACTTCTTCATCCTCAACTCCATTTAA